AAAGATCTAGAACTAGAAATACCATTTGACCCAGCAATCTTACTACTGGGTATATACCCAAAGGAATATAAATCATTCTATTATAAAGATACATGCATGCGTATGTTCATTGCAGCACTATTTACAATAGCAAAGATGTGGAATTAACCCAAATGCCCATTAATGGCATAGACTGGATAAGGAAAATGTGGCACGTATTCACCACGGAATACTATGCGGCCATAAAATAGAAGGAGATAATGTGCTTTGCAGGGATATGAATGGAGATGGAAGCCATTATCCTCCACAAACTAACCCAAGAACTGAAAAGCAAACACCGTATGTTCTCACTTAGAAGTGGGAGCTGAACAATGAGACACATGGACACAGGGATGGGAACAACACACACTGGGGCCTGTCGGGGTGGGAGTCAGGCGAGGGAGAGCATCAGGAAATATAGCTAATACATACTGAATTTAATACCTAGATGATTGAAAGGTACAGCAAAAAACCACGGCACACATTTACCTATGTGACAAACCTGCACATCCTGCAGATATACACTGGAACTTAAAATAAAATAAAACGTTAAATTGCAAATAGGCAAAGAGTCTAGTGTAATTTCAGTTTTAAATAAATTATATGTTATATTATATCAGATTCAGATTAGAATCATGAAGTGACCTGACTCATAGATGGAATGTATTAAAAAATAATAATTTTGATTACAAACAGAACCCAAGTACAGCTTGATGCAGTAGTAAAAAACAATCCACATCTCCTTTTGTTGACATTAATCTACATTAACATTGTGGATTCATCTAATTTGTGGAGTAAGGTAGAATATTTAAAGGAGAAAGGGTTTAACCTAGGATTATTAGCTATTAGCCTAGGTTGACCCGGGAAACCCAATTATATATATATAGTGTCATAAAGCCTCATGGGAACATGACAAACAACTTCTCCAGAGATACTTGATTTGTTTCTGAAGGGTTTAACGTCAAGGATGCTGCTCTCTCTACCTGGAAAAATCTTAGCTCAGATTTTTATTCCATTCCACCTTCTCTTTTGTTTTAATATCTTCATTTGCTTTTTTTTCGTGTGAGGGGGAATCTTCTTCCTTTCACTCATTCTGCATTCAATATGGCTTATAGCTTAGCAGTAACGGCATAAAACCATGCAATGGCTTGAATACCTGATGCTGGCATCAATGTAGCTCAGAGTGATTCAGAAGTCTATAGTCCAAAGGCCCTTGCTAATCTGATGTTTGTAATACTTTTATGGAAAGGCAATGAGCACAAATCCTCTTTCATCTCTCTTGCATTTTTATGCTCTAGGTATTGAATTGATTGCAGGTAGGAAAAGAGAAGAAGGCATTGGAAATAACAGTCTTCAGAAGTGCAGGGACTGCACAGGCTGTTCAATGTAGTGCAACTGGAAGGGAATGATTGTCGACACTAAGTACAAGAGCATAAACAAACATTTGGAGGGCCTTTTTTCATTTTACTGTAGGCACAATGTCTAGCATCATGCAAAAAATGAGTATGCAGGGACCACAGTGAGCACTGAGTCCAGCCTGTAGGTGAAGGTGATAATAAAGATTATGTAACAGATGCTACTGCAGAAGTGGATATAAATACTTTTCATTAAGGTAAGTAGGAACATCAGCATCAAATCCCTGAGTCCCAAAGGTAATGTCTATTTAACAATTCAAGGGAATGTTGGGATGTTTTTGCAAAAGAGTGGGTTATAAAATATCCAGAAGTGATCCACTAAAATGGCTATCAGATTAATTAAACCCATGCGGGAAAGAGAACCTAGAGAATACCTAGAAAAAAAAATCAATACTGATCTCAGTATGATAAACAGAAAGTTATCTGGCACAGTAAATAGGTGGGGAGAAAAACCTTAATCTCACCGAATGGCGAAATATTCAGGATGAGGCATGTGAATTTATATAGGCATGGTCACTCCAGGTGAAGTGAAGAAAATTATGGTGTACAGGCCTGGAGATCCAGACATGCTGTCTTCCAACTGGGACATCCACCTGCGTGAATATCTCAGGTGAGATCTCACAAATTTATTGAGGTAAAGCCATTTTTGCAAGACAGTCATATAAACAGATATTTGAGACAAATTAGAGGCATGAAGTTATCATTTGGGTTATGAGCCACTGATTAAAATTACATCTATAAGGTAGGGGATGGTACAAATAGATTGTAGGTTACAGAAGGGAAAGACAGACAAAGTTTTTATTCCTATCCCTTTCAGAAGCTCCCTATTTTGTGCAGGGTAAAACACATTTACATCATGAAATGCTAACCTGAATTTCAATAAGCCTGAGAAAAAGAGAAAAGAGCTGGAGTGTTACCAGTTATCAGATTCTCTCCCCTACGGAGAGATACTAGTGGGTGGGATGAAGATGGAAGAGAGGATGATTACTAGGCAGAATTGATGTGCTTATGAAGGAAAGAAGTAGAATTATGAGCAACAGGGAGATATTCCCATAGGAAAAAGAAACTACATGTATGAAAAACTTGTTAAAATAATATAAAACTCTGTAAGGAGAAGGGAACCCATATTCAAATCTTCAGTCTGAATTTGTCTCTATTAAATTTTGAGGGAAGTATCAAGTCATTTTAGGGTGAGAAATTTAAAGTTATAGATATGTGAATTCGAGTCTATTTTCATGACTTACCACTTCCTTTATAATGTGAACAATACACTTCATAGAGATACAAAGATTGTATAAATTATTATATTCAAACCATTGTAACTTTGGCAACAGCCTCGCACATCCTCTTTCTAGTTTCAAACTTTTTTCCAAATGTACTCTTTCAACTCATACCACACCTAAACTATTACTATAGATTTTCTATATAATGGTTAACATTAAAACGTGCACATGTTTTTCTAAAAGTCTCCCATCTGTCACTGGGAATGTTTAACCCTAGCACAGGTACTGACCCTGAGGATGAGGTTTGTATTAAGACAATCTGTGTTATTGAGAACTTTAGAGTTTAATATTTTCTAGGAGACTCTTCTTAGGTTTTGAGGATATCCTTAAAATGTGAACCAGAAGAAGTCAGAGAATGAAAATAAAATTGTAGTCATCATAGAAACAGAGGGGAGAGAAAGAATAAGGGATACCCACAGTATCATCAAGTGGGGTTAATGGACACAATAGAAGAGGTTAATGGTTAATATTAGACTTTTATGAAATAAACACAAGGGTCTGGGGAAGTAGGCCTGCCTGGATTTATACACTCAGTAATTCATTTCTTCATTTCCCAAATATTTATTGAGTACCTAGACTGATTTAGGCACTATAGAGGTCAATTGGTGTATGCAGTGAAAAAAAGGCAAGACAAGACAAGAAAAGGCAGTATGCAGATAATTATCTTAATACAGATATCATATGTGATATGAGACAAGCAAAAAGTATTGTTAGAATGCATAATGGAATGGAGATGGAGGGACAATCTAGTCTTCAGAGACATTGAAGACTACTAGGAGGGAGACAGGGACACTTGTAAATTCAGGCCCCTGCAAATCCAAGGAAAACAAGGCTCTCAAAAAATTTGCCCCTCCTATCTTATCCTACTAACATTCAGTCTGTTGTGTTACAGTGGATTCAATTCAGTACAATTTGTGAAACCTCAAATTTTAAATTCTCAAGTGATTAAGGATATCTATTATGAACAACATATCTTCCCTGCCCTCCACTTCTTCATCTCAAAGGCTATCTACAATAAGTTCTTTCCATAAGGTCTTAGCAGGAGGAGTTAGTGTTATTTCCCAAAGCCAGCATTCCTGTAGACATAAATTGCTAATTTCTAAAATTCTTCCCTCTGGGCTTATTCTCAGTGTATGTTCTCAGGTATAGGGTTTTGCTCTCAATACCTAGCTTTCTTCTAATTTTCCAGAGTTTTCAATATATACTGAAAACCTATTAAAGCCTTCTGTTATTAAAATTTTATATTTTATTGTGCATATATAAATGTGTATGTATTACATATATGTGTGTGTTACAGATATATATGTATATATAGATAGAGATATACACACATATATGTATGTATATCTGTAACATACACATATATCTGTAACACACAGATAAATATCTGTAACACACATATATAAACACATAATAAAATATAAAATTTTAATTACAAAAGATAGTATTGAATGTATGATTTTTGAAAAGTTTTAAATACAGGTTAATGAGAATTCCTTTTGTTTTTCTCTTCACCATCAAAGAATTCTCCAAAAGAACCTTTATTTTTATTAATTTTTGGTCTGTTTTTGCATGCATAAACAAATTAGTTTTTATGTGCTTAAACAATCTTACAAAAAATCATTGTCGTAGGTATTTCTATACACATACATATATAAGTCACATAAATATAATTCAATAATTTGCTATTTAAGCCTTGGACACCTATTAATCTGTATCGTTTTTAAACCACTAAAGCATATTCCATAGTACAGATAAATTCTAGTTTATTTACTTATTTATATAATAATTGCTAGTTGTTAAATTTTTTGTGGTTTTTTTTAGCTCTATTTCAAATATTGCTGAAGTGAAAATTCTCATTTGAGTCTCTGTGACCATCAACAAACATTAGAGTATGAAACTAGTGCAGTGCTAAGATTTGGAATTTCTGGACTAAATAGCATATGTACAAAAGACTAATTTAGATTGCAACTTATGAAAGTGTTCCCCACACATTCATCAATATGCAGCATTTTTAAAATCTTTTTGAGACACAGTCTCGCTGTGTTGCCCAGGCTGGAGGGCAGTGGCATGATCTTGGCTCACGGCAACCTCCACCTCCCGGGCTCAGGCGATTCTCCTGATATGCAGCATTTTCAATGCTCTTTAACGTTGACAAGGCGACGAGCACATTCTCCCTCCCTAGATTGCCTTTGGTAATGAAACTGATTGGCTTGAGGAACACCATCTCATCAACCCTAACTCCATTATTATTTTCTTTGAAGAAAGAGTTAGATCAACACCTGGCGAATCTGCTTGGTCTTAACACTATAGATTATGGGGTTGAGCACAGGTGGTACCAGAAGTAGACACTGGCCAGGAGGAGGCAAACAGCAGGTGCAGTATGCTTCAGGAAGCAGTGTACCAGAGCCACACTGATCATGGGCACATAATACACAAGGACTGCACAGATGTGTGATACACATGTGTTGAGGGCTTTCCACTGCCCCTCTCCAGAAGTAATGCCCAGCACCGTGTAGAGAATCAGCACATAGGAGACTGTGAGGAGCCGTGAGTCCAGTCCAAAAGTGGAAGTGATGATACAGAGCCCCAGAATGCTGTTGGGACGAGTGGCCCCACAGGGCAGCTGAATTAAATCTGAGTGCAGACAATAGGAGGGAGAGAGGGTGATGTTGCCACAGAAGAGCAGACGCTTCAGGAGAAAGGGCAGTGGGAACATGAGCATCACACTCTTCAGTCCAAGGGTAGCACCAGTACCAGCAATACGGGGCAAGGTCAGGATAGCAGTGTACTGCAATGGGTTGTAGATAGCCACAAAGCGGTCCACAGACATGGCCAGCAGAACTCCTGACTCCATGATGGAAAACAAATGTATGGAGAACATCTGCAAAAGGCAGGCTTCAAAGCAGATCTTTTTGGCACTAAAAAGGAAGATGCCCAGCACAGTGGGCAGTGTAGAGGCAGAGACACCAAGCTCTGCAAAGGCCAGCATAGCTAGGAACAAGTACATTGGCTGGTGCAGAGAGATGTTTTTCTTGATCACAGTCAGGATCAGGCTATTGCCCATGAGGGCCACAAGATATGTGGAACAGAATGGAAAGATGAACCAGGGATACTGTTCCTCCAGACTAGGGAAACCAGTCAGCAGAAAATATTCTGGGGTGAATTGACTGCTGCTGAACATTCTCTCGTGTCTGGAGTCTGAGGACTTTGGCTTAGGCAAATGACACAAACATCACCTGTGGTGAAAAACATCAAATTAATAGACTGTTGACTGAGAATGACTGTAAATTCATCTGCCTAGTACTATCAACCAAGTCATTTATCTTTTCCCATTCCATGACTAGTTCAATTTGGTCTTCAATACAACAAGAGAGTGTGGAGACATGACTTACAGATATGTATATGACTAAAATAAAATAATATGATAACAAATTGTACTATCACAATTTAAACTAATTCTCATAATGACTTCAAAGTACATATGTATGGTTAATGTTTCCCATTTCTCTAGCAAAAGATAGGGCTGAGTAATTTAAAGAAGATAAGGCGGGGCACAGTGGTTCACACCTGTAATCCCAACACTTTGGAAGGCTGTGAAGCAGGCAGATAGCTTGAGCTCAGGAGTTTGAGACCAGCCTGGGCAACATGGCAAAACCCTGTCTCTCCAAAAAATACAAAAATTAGCCAGGTGTGGTGGTCCACGCCTGTAGTCCCAACTACTCAGGAGGTTGAGGACAGAGGACATCTTGAGCCTGGGAGGTGGAGGTTGCAATGAGCCGAGATGGTGCCACTGCACTCCAGCCTGGGTGACAGGGCCACACCCTATCTCAAAAATAAATAAATAAAAATAAATAAATAAATAAATAAGACATGGTTGGAAAGATATTGGCATAAAAAAACTGTAATCTATCCGACATTCTACACATCCCGATTAGAGCATGGTGGACTTTCAGTGACTGATAGGGACAATAATTAAAGAGTAACTTTACCTCAAAGTTAGTGTAGAATTGCCCAAGAGATAAAGACTCTAAATGTCCATCCCTGCCACTCCAAACAACATCAAATACCTCTCTTCATTGGAGGATAGAATTATCAGGTTTTACCTAGATAAAACATCTCTAAAAAGGGCTCAGTTCTCCATGTTCATTTCACAACCCCTTGGATAATCACACTGGTTTTTACACATGGAGGGTAAGGAGTAGAAATGAGTTTATGTTAACAAAGGTTAATGGAAAGAAGTTTTTTTTCCCCCCACTGGAATTCCTGTTAATGGAAAGCAATGTTCTGTCCTTTGGAAAATTCCTCTCAAATTTCCAATTCACATATTGGAGTATACTTAACCCATGTTTACTGTGTGTGTGGCATAATGGACAGGAGTATGGAACCCTACAGACTATGTTTCTAAAACTGCAAAAATGATGACTTCTTAAAAAGTTCATGATGGTCCCAAAAGCTTAATCCATCATATAACTTTAATCTATGATAGCAGAAGTGTGGATGCCTTCTGTAACCCCACCTGGGAAGGCAATCTGGATCTCTTTACATCACTCAAGATAAATATACCTGTCAAGAGAGAGGGAGAGACCTCTGTATATCAAGATGTATCTGTGAGGAAACCTCCACACCTCAGGACGGGAGGTTATTCAAAATCTCTGTGTTAGAAAAAAAATTATAGAGAAAAGTAAATCATATCTCTCTTACTATATGAAGGAAACATCGAACTCCTTGCTGGAAACAATTAAAACACATGACATGGGGAAAACTTATTGGAGATGAAAAAGCTGAAGGTATTAAGCTGTGGGATAGAATGGAATCTACAGACTTGGCATTAAATCCCCCATTTCTACTTTCTAGTGGACTAAATATTGGAGCTTGACCTTTTAAATATATAAAATGGGGATGATAATATCTATAATAAAAATTAAGGGTAGTGAATATAAAAGCATGTACAAAAGAGCCTTATAGGCTATACAGTAGTCACTAGTTTCAAGAGAGTAATATTGTCTATTGTGAGAGACATTGAGTCTTCAGGGTGGTCCCATGACATCTTACTGAGGGATTAATAAAAGGGGTCCCTTAACTTGGAACCACTCTAATACTTCAGGTCTTGCTCTTCTCTAATTAATATTTTTGGGTGTACATCCTCTCTTCCAACTCCATCCTCCCATGCCTTAATTCAGCATATTAGTAAATATTTTAGTGGTATACATTACCAGATTTTATGTCTTGAAGTTTTAGATTTCAGAGCAGTATGCTTAAGAAGTAGCATTGCAGGCTATTACATCATACTGCCTCAGGGAAACCCTGATTCAGTCACTTTGTGTCTGGCTTGTGATTTCTCCATCTGTAGAGCAGGGTTACAATATCTAGCCCTGTAAGCATGCTTGAAGCTTAAACAAACTAATATATATGGAGCAGTCAGCATACAATACTTTCACTCTATGCACTTATTGTTGGTTGAAATAATAGTATTAATAATATCACTATAAGTCAAACATTTAATTTGTATACAAGTTTTTTAATATTTAGGCATTTTCTCTCCATCTTTGTAGATAACATTCAGTTTTTTTGAAATTAAGCAATTTCTTAATTGTTTAAAATGTTCTGGATTGATGATATCAGTGTTGTATCCTTAACCTAGCCTTATGATACTAACACCTTTCAAGTATCTAGAATGTCTCCAAGAAATAATTTGACCCTGCTTCCTGAAGAGAAGACACTGGTTCTCACACATATTAAAAAGTTTCACTATTTTTTATGAGAATTAAACAACAACAAACAAAACATTTGCATAAGAAATTAGTAACTGTGTAGAACTGTCAGAGTACTGAGTATCAACTGCCATGTAAAAGGGAGTAGAAAATATTTGAGAGACAGTATGCCTGTTCATGACAGGGATAAAGGGGAGGCAGAAGTATCTGGAATCCAGCCTAAACTTAGGCTTGTCATCTTTATAGACTGTTTGCTGGTATGTTCATTTTAGGAACACCAATAAAAAGTGAATAAAACTGATTTTAAAATATGCATCTTCTGGCATTTCAGGATGGTCTGGTGGAGGAGAAGTTAGTGTCATCTGAACATAATCCATAAATTTGAATTAAGGAGAACAGTAATTTTTTTGTTCTATGCCACTGTTTAAGATGAAAGAAAAATTCTCATATGCACATCTTCTTTGAATTACACTTCTTAATGCCTGTGAAATGTTGCTGAGGATATTTAACTCTCTAACTTGACTACTCTATAAATCCCAACACAGGATTATCTTTTCTTTCCTAATTTTCTTGGATATTCTGTTTGTTTACTTCTCTGGTTGTTTGTTTCTTGATTGCTGTTATTATTAGTTATTTTTCTTTTTCTTTCCTTAGTGCTGTGGAATTCAGTTCAACTAAAAATTACATTTTAAAGCAAATGCAACCTTCTTTATTTGATGAAATCCAGCTCAAATGTTAACTTTTTTTGTGATGTCTTTCCTCAACCATGCATGTAGTGAATCACTTTCAATAGCAACCTCCCTCAGCAATTGCAGTTTAGTTATTTATGTGATTTTCTTCTAGAGAAGACCTAGAGCCTATATTTTCAGCATAACACTGAGCGTTAATACATGAGAAGGGAGAAAGGGAAGGAAGGTAACAGGAAGGAAGGTGAACACTTACATATAGTGATGTTAGTCTAAGCTGGGAGTTTGATGAAAATAAGACTGTCTTCCTTTATCGAATGAGGACCTCTTTGAGGACATAAAAATAATATATATATTTTTACTTCACTATAAATGAGGAGTTGTTATTGTAGAAAGTCAGGAATGAATGCTAATGAATGAGGTGTGAGACTAGACTTGGAATTATTATAAGGAGAGGTTAAAACTGGTGTTTAGTTGGGAAGGAGGCAAGGAGAAGAGGAAATAGAACGTATTAATTTAGTGCTATGTATTAGGCACTTCAAAAGGGTGATTTGAGTATATTATCATTGTATATGTCATCTTTTTCATCCTCAAACTTCTCAAAATGATCTAATCACACCATTTTAAAACTTGGAAGCATCAGAAATTGGCAGTTCAAGTGACTTACCAAAGTCACAGAACTACTCTGTGGCAAAACTGAAGTTAAGGTTAGGAGAGAAAGAGTCTGAGCAAAAGCCATACAGGGGAAGCAGTAATAGCAAATGAGAGGTGAAGGTGGAGGTCACACTGGGTCAGAAAGAGAGAAATGAGGAAGAAGTGAGACGTGTCGGTCGTCAGGAGAGTTGATTTTGAGGGTGAGCAGGTCAAAGTAATGTAGTTGCCTGCATGGGATGAAGGGGCCAAGGACTTTGCTACAAAAAGCAAACAAGTGGAGGGTAAACAGACCTATAAAAGAAAGACATTTAAAAACAAAATCAAGTGTTTAGATGAAAAAGAACTGGATTTGAAGACAAATAAGAAGCTTCCCTACCCCAGGTTTTAAGTGTTCCTCTTTTACCATAAGAATTTCTGCCACGCACAACTTGTCTGTGCCTCAAAGGAGAAGGGCTTTCATGACACAAGGAAAAGAAAACAAAATGTATGTTAGAAATGAGCTACAACTCAGAACAAAAACCCTAGGCAGGTTTTGTTTACCCAAACAGATTTTCTGTCCCACTGATTCCAAAGCCTGGGCTTCTAAGGGTGAACCCAACCCCTCCTCTGTGAATCTTACCAAGCTCAGATGTCAACTCTTCGGTGATGTTTTTTTTTTCCCACTCATGTATGTAGTTAATCACCTACCTTTCAATCTAGTTTGTCTCAGACCTGTTCTCCAGTGCCCCAACTGAAGGCAGGGGCCAACCGGTTTTCATATTTACTATGACTCTAGAACCAGTCCCTCCAATTTTGCTGCCAGTCCTCTGGGAGACACAGGCAAATTAGTCTTAGAAGGATGTGCTGCTTCTGGGCCTGCAGGAAAAATTGGACCAAAACCAGAGGATCTCCGAGGTACTCTCTAGGGAATCGTAAGTCAAATTCTGAGAAAATACAGAACGTGTGTGTGTCTGTGTGTCTGTGTGTGTGTGTGTGTGTGTGTGTGTTTCTGGGTAAGCATATTTCATGTGCATGTGCACATTTGTAAATTTATATAAATATACACATGAACACGTGTATGCATGTATCTATATGCAGGTATATGCATAACCATGCTCCTTTATGTAGAATTTTGTTTGCAAGTTTCCATGAATCTATGAGCCCATGTATACATGCACCAATTGAATGTGT